TAGGTCAAGCTGTTGAGGTATATTCCATGCGGTATAATTTTGAATTTCAAATATGTTCAATCTCTTAAAATATGAAACTATTAATATAATAAATCAAATTTCACAAAAAATGGGATTGTTAAACTAATATACCTTCAAATAAGAAAAAATGTATTTTAGTGAAGAAAAAATTTGAAAATTTATCAATGAGTATGTGAGATCCCGTATTTCATATAAATATAAATGATATTAACTTGATAATATTTTTAAAATAATTAAAATGATGAGAGAAATTTCGAATCGTTGTTAAAAGAATAATTGTGTAAGCTTGAAGGATGAATATATTGACTTTTGTGGCAAATTTAATTTTTAGAGGTGTTTTAGATTGGTAAAGGTAACTAAGTAAATATATTAATGTTTTTAGGTCAAAATAATATTACCATTGAATCTGGGAAGTTTAAAAAACTTGAAATAGACGTTTAGCTCATATAGCAGTTCGGAGAAGGTAAAATAATAATTTTAGTGTTTCGGGTATAAATTAACTTTAATTTTGAGATAAATCATAAAACTAAATGTTTTTAGGTTAAAATAACATTAAAAATAAATTCGGAACGTCGAAAAATCTTAGGATAGTTATATGGATCAAATTAGAATATTTAGTGACAAAACCATAATTTCGGAGGGAAAATTGATTTTTCAACCCATGAACAATAGAATTCGGGGCTGCTATGTTTAAAACACATATTTTAGCTCCTTTTCTTCCATTTTTTTCATTTTTCTCTTACCCAAAACCTCTTAGAACCCTAGGAGAAGATAAAGGGAAAGAGAAAGGGGAAGAAGAATGTCCATAAAGTTTCGAGTTTATTTGAAAATCCTAGGAATTTTGGCTTGGAATTCTTGATTCTTAGGTAGGATTTTCCTTTCTCTTACATTTACATTGTGTATCTCATGTATTTTCTTTAGTTAAAGCTTACTATATGGTTGATGGCAAAATTCTTGTTATAAATCTTGATGTAGTGTTGAATATGTCATGGATTTGTGAATCTACATGCATAAAAATGATTTTAGCGTGGTGAGTTTCAAACCTTTGTTTGATTTTAGTTATGGGTATTTGATTAAACTTATGATTTGGAAGGTTTTGAAGTATATTATGATCTTGTACAAAATATGACTTATTCTCTTATAAATGGAAATGATTTTAGTGTTATGGATTTGAAACCCTTGTTTGATTTAGTTATGAGTATTTGATAAAACTAATGATTTTGGGGTTTTAAAGTATGTTATGATTTTGTACATAATATTACTTATTCTCTTGGAAATGAAAATACCGTAGTTTAATTTTAGTTATGGGTATTTGATTAAACCTATGATTTGGGGGTTTTGAAGTATGCTATTATTTTGTATATAGTATATATGACTTATTTTCTCTTGAAAATGGTTGTGTTGCTTTGAAAATGCAACTTTTGAGATTTGAGCTTACCACATATTTGATAAAATGTCAAAGTTATGACATGTGTTTTCAAAAGAATTTATGGATATAGAAAATAATGATTTTTGAAAAATGTATGCTTGATACTGACAGACAAAGGGTTAGTAAACGGTTGTGGCCTATTAAGTGGGTTGCCAACGCGACTACTAGTCCTAAAGGTGATTGGTTATGGTAGTGATTTTCAGTGATGACCTATGTGGAGTCACAATCCGTACCTTACATGTTCCCCTTGAAAAGTAAGAAGGGCAATAAGACTCTAGGGTGCAAGACCCAAAAGGTTGCCCGGGGATGGTTCATGCGCGAACCGATGTGATTGATGATATTGTCTGTATGTGAGGCATGTATGGTATTTGCTATGATGGTTTAAATTTAATTTATACCTTGTATATTTTTATAAATACTTTACTTATTATCTTGTACTTGTATTCAATTATAAAAAGCTTTCATTACTTGTTAGTATGATTTGTAGAATGTTGGTTTTTAAAATTTTGTAAATGCTTGAGAAAAGGATTATCCTACTAAGCGTGTGGTTGATCATCCCTTACTAATATTTTCAGAGACTAGCATGCATCCTGAAGCATAAATGATGGAATGCTTGTGGAAGCTTGGACTAGAAAGAATCTCTTTTGGAGTTTTTTTGTATTTACTTTTAGAACTTATGTAGAAATGTTAGCACTTAAACATTGTATTTAAAAAGGTTGTCTTGAGGTATTTTTGGTGTACACTTGATCATCACATAAAGGGATTATTATTTTGGATGTTGTAATGTAAAGTTATGACTTTTGGTACAAAGTTGTGGTATATATTGGTGTTGGATGTATCCGGATTTGGGAGGACTTCGTGGGCCTCTAATTGCTACCCTGGATTTAGTTAGATTATATTTTTGGACGGAGACATGTTGTGGATGTTTAATTAGTTTAAATCATATTATGCTCTCACAGGGATGCTCGTATTAGCTAGTTAGAAGCCCAATTTTCAAAAGAAATTCTGTCAAAAAAAATAAAAAATAATATATATATATATATATATATGTTTTGATAAAAAAAAATCCAATATTTCATTTCAACTAAAAAAATACTTTTCTAGATATTTTTACAACATATTGGCATGCGTTTTTTTTAAATAAACAAAGTGTTTGTTTTAATCACGTTTTAATGAAAATTGGGGCGTGACAGAGTACTTAATTACAATACAATTCAAGTTAAAGGTAGTTATCAACAAAAGAATTTAGTCAACATATTTTCTCATGAGTAGTTTAAAAGATACCCCGCTCACAATTTTTCAAAAGAAAAAAAAAACAGGTCCAACAACAATATTTCTAATTAATTTTTATTTAATTTGAACAACCAAACAATTGAGTTTTTAAATCTTATGTAGAGTTTCGTTTAAGTCTCTTTGCTTAATCCGTGAATAATTGTAATAAAAGCATCAACGGTTCCAATTATAGAATAATCTAGTTGAAGCATATATCTATAATATAAAATACTAGTGATTGTCCGTGCCTGAAGACACGGTGTTACTCATAAATTTGTTACAAATATTTGTGCATACATAAATGTAAAGTAAAATACAACATTATAGTAAACGACGAACAAAATGAGTTCGTTAATATTTTTTATAACATCAATCTACATGCATAACATATATTTTTATATTAAATTATTAAGCCACAAAAATTATTTTATAACTACTGAAACATAATAATTCAAACATTTGAAAAAATATATCAGCTGACAATATTCAATGTTATATTGTAGATTCAAAATTCATAATTTTAACATTCATAATCAACTTAATTTAAATAATAACAGAATTCATAACTAATAGAATAAAAATTATAACAATACTCCCACAAATAAACTAAGTCTGCAAATGTTGTCAAATGAACAAACATAACTATCAGAAATTCAACCGACTTCCAAAAGATACGACCTGACTATTTAATTTGTATGATTCAAGTTTATATGATTCTTCTCAGTTATTGATATTCTTAATATATTTTCTTAAACTAAACATTATTTAATATTGGATTATTTTGTAAAGATTGTTACTTCGTATTGTTCACTAAATATTGAATTTGTATGATTCGTATTCATATTATTACTTATAATTTTGTATTGTTTCTCTTGTTTGTAATTTTTTCTCATTTTTCTCGAGTCTTTAGATTTGGATTATTTAGTAAATATTGTTACTTTGTGTTGGTTCACAAAATATTGAATTTGTATGATTTGTGTTTGTATATAAATTTAATCTTGTATATTTTAAATGCTAAGTATATTTTCTATAATATATCTCTTAATATCTGAGTTGCTCAATAACTTAAATTTAATCTTATATATTTTACATGTTAAATTAGATTTTTTGCAAGTTATGTTTTTTTTTATTGATTATCAAAAAAATAAGATTGTATGATTCGAGTTTATAGTAATGTTTTTAATTTTATATCATTTTTTTGAATTATTTATATTTTTAGTATATTTTCTTAACCTAAACATTATTTATTTATTGGATTATTATTTATTATTGGATATTATGAGCGTAAGTATTTATTATTTATTTATTAGGTTATTATTTATTTATTAGGATATTATGAGCGTAAGTATAGGTAAAATACTTGAAACGTAGATGCAATCTAATTATTTTTACATAAAACACCCACCGCCACCCTAGGCCACAGTAGGCCAAACCCACAATTTCTGTCCCTCCTAACTGCGCTACATACTCTGCCACCCATCACGCTTCACCCCACCCCCATCGCTACCCACCATCTCTATCTTTTTTCTAATAAATTCCACATGTTCAATGCAATTTATCGTGAATTCAAATTAATAACAAATTGTGAGATCATTCTACCTTAGGAAATTACATGTCTTCAATATGGACACATTAACGTGCACCATTGTATACCATCTGCATGTAGTGGTAACAAATTCTGATTTAGTGCCAAAGAATAACAAAGAGTTCAAAGTTCGATAGAGTAGCAAGAATTACAAATAATTGAATCTACCTTGTGGCTTGAACTTAATAAAGCACTAACATAATTTAGCTAGAGTAGTGAATTTTTAAGGTATCCCCCAGTATTGGATCCTTTCCATCCATACTGGTCAGATTTAATCACACAATTAGAGTAGCATTATGTAATCATATTGAATTATTGTGAACATGTGCAAACACTAACTATGTTATTAAGTCATAAAAGATGAGATTAATTTAAAAAATTTTAATCAATCTTTTAAGTCTAATCAATTCCTCAAATTAAACTATATTTATCCTAAATTCAAGTCAACTTATATGGCAGTGGGTACCTCTTCCATAGGAAGTGTTCACTTATATGACAGGGCGGAGACGACTTCTACCCGATGTGGGATGGAGGTAAAGGCTACTGTATTGCTTTAAAAAAAGGTACAGGCCAGCCAGAATCCTTGGTGTTCAAGAATGAGATTCGAACGCGCGATTTCTACCCCTAACAACCATCTTTAGTTCTTGTCCTCTTCAACCCTTCTAGCTCTTATTAAAAATATAGCTATCATCTATGGCTGAAGGCAGGAGATATGAGATATACGATAAAGAGAAAAAAGTTATATACAGAAATGTTCATGGTGTGGACGAAAACTTGGGAATAAAGATTCACCGGGCAGAAGAGGTACTGTCTGATGGAAATTATATGCGGGTGAGAATTAAATCTGTTCACCGTCAAAAGCACCAAAAAGAGTTTGAGCGACTCTACCGGGAAGTTGATCGAAGCAGCCAGATCTCTGCTTCCAATCACATCCTATATGTAAGGAACACTTTCTCTAGCAAAGGTGTTTATCATGTGGTCATCCCACGTGAAGACGAAGCTATGTCCACCTTGATAGAAATGGGTCGTGGATGTGCAGACGGCCTTTCAGAAAAGGTCATTTCTGTGATATTAAAACAAACTATTGTCGGGTTGTCTACCATCCATAATAACGAAGTTATTGCACATCGAAATTTGACTCTGAGTAGCATTGTTTTTTGTGATTATGATATCAAAGTAGCTTTTGGTGCTACTTTGTATGAGGAATGCACAATCGCTCGTGAGTCATCATCAAGTCGCCCTATTGTAGAGTGGGTAGAGGCTCCTGAAGTTCTTGATTTGACTAGACAGACTCTACAACGAAATAAAGCTGATATATGGCGTATCGGTGTAATAGCTCTGCAGCTAGCATATGGTAT